ATGATGCCTATCATACCCCCGGTGGTCGTGATAATGAGAGCGTTGTTGTGGTTCTTGACTGTATGATCTGACATTATCACTCCTACGTCCATCACATTAATCTTCCGCTGTGTTCAACTAGTCTTACAGTGTCTCCCGGTTTATGTTCATCATTGTTCCAAGGTGCTCGTCGAACATCATAGCGTTCCAATATGTATACATATACATGTATACATATTGGAATATGTATTCAATTATGTATCTGTATTCAATTATGTATCAACGTATCCAATTATGTATCTGTATTCAATTATGTATCAACGTATCCAATTATGTATCTGTATTCAATTATGTATCAACGTATCCAATTATGTATCTACGTATCCTATTATGTATTCATGTATGCAATTATTTATTCATGTATCCGGTTATGTATCAGTGTATACAATTATGTTTTCATGTATTCAATTATGCATTCATGTATCCAATTATGTATCCACATATCAAATTATGTATTCACATATAGAATTGTCTCAACATATCCAGTTATGCATCCATGTATCCAATTAAGTATCCGTGTATCCAACTATGTATCCGTGTACCCAGTTATGTATATGTGTATCCAATTATGTATCCATGTATCCAATTATGTATCCACGTATCAAATTATGTATCCACATAGCTAATTATGTATCCATGTATCCAATTATGTATCCATGTATCCAATTATGTATCCATGTATCCAATTATGTATCTGTGTATCCAATTATATATCCAAGTATCCAATTATGTATCCATGTATCCAATTATGTATCCATGTATCCAGTTATGAATCCGTGTATCCAATTATGTATCTGTGTATCCAATTATATATCCATGTATCCAATTATGCACCCATATATCCAATTATGTATCCATGTATCCAATTATGTATCCATGTATTTAATTATGTATCCATGTATTTAATTATGTATCCATGTATAAAATTATGTATCCAGGTATCCAATTATGTATCCAGGTATTTAATTATGTATCCAAGTATAAAATTATGTGTCCAGGTATTCGAGTTGTTCCTTTTGAGCGCATTTTTTGTGCGCTGTTGCAACATGACGACATTTGCAACATGACGACACTTGCAACATGACGACACTTGCAACATGACAACACTTGCAACATGACGACACTTGCAACATGACGACACTTGCAACATGACAACACTTGCAACATGACGACACTTGCAACATGACGACACTTGCAACATGACGACACTTGCAACGTGACGACACATGCAACATGACGACACTTGCAACATGACAACACTTGCAACATGACGACACTTGCAACATGACGACACTTGCAACATGACGACACTTGCAACGTGACGACACTTGCAACATGACGACACTTGCAACATGACGACACTTCCAACATGAAGACACTTGGAACGTGACGACACTTGCAACATGACAACACTTGCAACATGACAACACTTGCAACATGACGACACTTGCAACATGACTGCACTTGCAACATGACGACACTTGCAACATGACGGCACTTGCAACATGACGACACTTGCAACATGACAACACTTGCAACATGACGACACTTGCAACATGACGACACTTGCAACATGACGACACTTGCAACATGACGACACTTGCAACATGACGACACTTGCAACATGACGACACGTGCAACATGACGACACTTGCAACATGACGACACTTGCAACATGACGGCACTTGCAACATGACGACACTTGCAACATGACGACACTTGCAACATGACGACACTTGCAACATGACGGCACTTGCAACGTGACGGCACTTGCAACGTGGCTACACTTGCAACGTGACGGCACTTGCAACGTGACGGCACTTGCAACATGGCGACACTTGCAACATGACGACACTTGCAACATGACGACACTTGCAACATGACGACACTTGCAACATGACGACACTTGCAACATGACGGCACTTGCAACGTGACGACACTTGCAACATGACGACACTTGCAACATGACGACACTTGCAACATGACGACACTTGCAACGTGACGGCACTTGCAACATGGCGACACTTGCAACATGAATGCACTTGCAACATGACGACACTTGCAACATGACGACACTTGCAACATGACGACACTTGCAACATGACGGCACTTGAACGTAGACATGCCTGACGACACTTGCAACATGACGATACTTGCAACATGACGACACTTGCAACATGACGACACTTGCAACGTGACGGCACTTGCAACGTGACGGCACTTGCAACGTGGCGACACTTGCAACATGACGGCACTTGCAACATGACGACACTTGCAACATGACGACACTTGCAACATGACGACACTTGCAACATGACGACACTTGCAGCATGACGACACTTGCAACATGACGACACTTGCAACATGACACTTGCAACATGACGGCACTTGCAACATGACGGCACTTGCAACATGACGATACTTGCAACATGACGACAGTTGCAACGTGACGGCACTTGCAACATGGCGACACTTGCAACATGACGACACTTGCAACATGACG